GTTTGTAAACCATTGTTCTATATTTGTATCATTTTGTAAAACCTGTAAAAGCGAGTATGGCTGGCTCCACCAGCTGTTATTGTAAACTGTAATCTAATACTGTAAACTATATCTCTGTAAACTAGTACTTTGAAAATGTACCCATGTTTAGTTAATTATAGTCTAACGTATTATTAATATCTTTTTAATGAGTTATTATAACCATACTATGACTAGATGGCCTAATACAAATGCTTTGAAGTAGTTTAAATTGTTGATAACAATTTCACTCATAGGCGTATATGCCCGATTGTAGCTAGCATCCTGAGAGTGGAGTTATCAATCCCAATAGATATTTAGACACACTTGTTTCGATCCCCGACTGATGATTCTGGTTATAATATCAGGACTTTAACTATGTTGTTTAAATGAATAAACAACCTGAATATATTGTCTAATAAAAAAGCATATAAACATTATGTGTATAATGAAAACCCAATCATTCTTAAAGAAATGATTGATAGTATGTTCCCTATTTAGTATACTCGAAATGTAGTAGTAGTGCATCCTTGTTTAGTTTTGAATCAAACCCTTGTTTTTGTACAATAGTGTAAACCCATGTTCTTGTAAAATAGTGTACTCTAATATGCTTGACTCATGAGTTAGTGTTCTTGAATCATAAATTATACCTATTATAACTTATATGTACTATCTATATTGATACTAACTGTTCAGGAATGCAACCCCTTGCTCTACATGTTACAAGGGTATTAAAACTGAAAGAAATAACCTTTATATTTATATACATACACAAATATATATATATATATATATATATATATATATATATATATATATAACTAAAATTTAAACGACATTCAAAAAAATAATCGATACTCTAAATCCACATCCAAACAAGGAAAAAGAAATAAAGGAAGTTATCAGTCCTAAGCCTTTGAAATCTTATTTATATACATGTAAATATATAAATATGATTTTTGGGGAAAATATAAGTTTGTTAAAGAGTTTTAACATTTTGAAATACATTTGATGACTTGATTTTATTTTATCACAATTTGAAAACATTTGATTTGAAGATAACTTGAAATCCAGTTTGTAAGGTATTTTGAAACCATTTGTTAATAACACAAAAAAAATCTTGCGTTAGACTTGAATTCCCCCCCCCCCCCCCTAAAACTGTAAAAACTATGAAAATACGGTTGTATGAACTCACCGTTTCAAGGGTGATTCAAATGATGATTTGGTATAGGATGTTTAGTTCCAACTGAAATGCTATTGTAAAACAAGTCCTATATAGTAATTTATATAGCTTATATGCATCCAATTAGCTAATATAATCGTAGGAATGATTGGAAACTGAACTAATTTGTAAGTATAACTTACAAATTGGAGTTTTAGAAGCTAACTTCGAATCTGATACGTGTTCACGGCCATGAGATGAAGAGTTCACGACCTTGCTTGAAGGCTTCACGACCCTATGTTTTTGAATGATTGAAGTGATGGGTTTTGTACAAACAATCTTATGTGTGCATGCAACCCTAAATTTGGATCTATATTTTCTCTATTGGATACACAACTTTATGAACACAACAAGAACCCTAGCTACCATGTATATATTTCGAAATTTATATATATGAGTAGATCACATACCTCTTGTTGTTATATTGCAATAACAACACTAATCTTCAATCTCTTAGTCTTGAAAGCAAGTACCACAAGTGTAATACCTCTAATGGATCATAAATACCATAAGCAATTGGAGAGGCGAGAGAGAGAGAGAGAGAGAGAGAGAGAGGATGAAATCGGCTCTAGGAACCCTAGGGAATCAAGTGGCCGATTTCTTTAGCCTTAGAGGTCTTTATATAGGGTAGAGATTAGGGTTTCAGTGCTTATCCTTATCTAGGTTCTTGCCCACCAAGTAAGCAAAAGATAAGCCTTGAAAGCCCTTATCCTTGGACGATTTCAAGGACCTTATCCCCTTGAATTCGTCCACCTCTCCCATAGGGCATCCATTGCCCTAATTTGCAACTATTACATAATTACAATTCAATCCCTGCAGTTTAATTAATTACATTTGATCACAAAAAAATAATTCTTAATTAATTATTGACCAATATTAATTAAACAAATATGATTTCTCCTATTAATATATTATTCCTATAATATATTAATAAATCATAATAACCTCTTTCTCTATTATTTCTTCAATCAAGTTGCTTTGGTGAAGGCAACCCAAAAGGACCATGCACAACCGGGTCAAGTACTTACCAAATATGGTTATGGGCTTAGACACTAATCCAACAGTCTCCCACTTGGATAAGTCTAGTAACCACAAATGTAAGTAAAACTCGATTAGCAATCGTAGCTCTCGAAGACGCTGTCGAACTCTGATCTTATCAGTAACCTGTCCTTTAGATAAGGGATCGTATAGTCCTCTGTTTCAGATATCGTGCGGACAATCTCATGGAACATAGTCATATTCATTGTCCAACAGCTAGTTTATGGATCTGAGATTCATTTGACATTGAACTTAATTGAACACATCAATTCAGTCCTGACCAGGACCGATACATAAGTCAAATCAAAATCATTGAGGGGCCCTGATATCGCTTTTATACTCTAAGGATAAAAGAAACAGATAAACTTCGACTTATATGCATTTACTACTCACTAATCAATTATACACAACAATGCGTTTTATGGCATCACTTTACTGATGCGGTTTCGCATTATCAATGTACAATCAGTTAGCAAACAATAAACCATATGTCTTGGTTTTAAGACCATATGATATTATCATATTGCGATCACTCGTGATAGATTCCATGAAGTGATTCCAGCAAGTGCGGATTTATTCCAATTCTAAAAACATATTTATAAGCACTCATGAATGTTGTAACAAACCTTTGTTATGTCTAATACCATTCAGGCAATCTGCACACCAATTCATAACAGTCTTCATTCATACCTACTTCCAACATATGAACAACTGTGGATCATTCGAATAATTCGATTATTCTTAATTAACTCAATTATTCCGGAAGTCAAAACATGCAAGCAAAATAATAGTCAACCAATTAACATAAGACAGTAGCTATACCAATAAATACCACTTCTTTATTTAATCATCAAATGTCAATTACAATTATCTATTACTCAATTCTAAACTATCTAATCCAAACTAACATCGTCCTTCATCCCAATGCTCCTAGCGTGTTGCAAATGCTTAACCCTACTCAGTCCCTTCCACTACTAGAAAAACAGCCTTTTACGACGCTGATTGCGCGTCGTAAAAGGCTCAGACGACGCGCAAATGCGCGTCAAGGAAGGCCCTGTCATAAAGAGAGACGACGCGCATTTACGACGCTCATTTACGACGCGCAATCACGTTTACAACACGCAAAGCGTATCAAGGAAGGCCATGTCATAAAGGAAGACGACACGCTTTCGCGTGTCGTAACCGTACGACGCACGTGTTAAGGACACGCAATACGTATCAAGCAAGCACCTGTCAAGAAAGGACATGTCATAAATGAAGATGACACACATTTTTGCGTATCATAATTTTAAATGTTTAAAAAAATATATTATTTATAGATTTACTAATTTTCAAATTAAATAATATATTAAAAATCTCATAATACAAAATAAAATACCATAAATAACAAAGATAATTCATTTCACCAATATGTCAAATAGAAATAATTATTCCAAAAGTGGGTAAATGTTATAAAGAAATGAACTCATTTATATACAATTGCATCATCTAGCTTACTATGTGCCAACAACTCTCTGTGTTTTTACTTTTGCTTGAGTCTCGTTTCCTCCAAAGCTTCTAGCCATGCCAAAATATGATATCTTGAGTCTCGTTTCAAGAACCAAAATCACCTTCAATCACCTAATTAAACTCTAATGTTGGTAGACTGAGAGTTCCAGAATCAAGTTTTACATTAACTTGTGCATTTGTGTTAACATCTTTAGCACAAGAACAAAAAAAAAAGGGTGTTTCTTGATTGTTCAGCATTACTATGTGCAGGGCACACAGTGCATAGTATTGCAGTTCTTGCATTGCCTCCAGGAGAGTTTTGTAGTATGCGTGTTAGCTTCGAGTTAATTGTCAAGGCACATGCCCAATTCCTCCTTTACTGCATCCAAATCATAAAACTTGTCGAACAGACATACAAATTGATTTCTCAAGCTCGAAGCTACTATGCTACACCCTTTGGGGGTAATTGTGCCAGTTCTACAAAAAGATTACTTTTCAAACAAACCCTAGATGGCCCATACAGACCACTACATAAGACAAGTGGGACCAACTTTGTTATGGCTTAGGGGGACTTTTGTCATTTTAGGAATTCCGACAAGAAATTGTATTCTTATTCATGTTTTTAAAAGTATTCTTATTCATGTTTTTAAAAGTATTCTTATGCATTTTAATATCGTGTGAATGATTAAGATTAATCTAAATTGTATTCTTATTCATGTTTTTAAAAGTTAGTTGAAGAAAAAAAAATATGTACCAGTTGTAAAATTTGATGAGATCTTGAACTCATTTCATTCAATGCAGTCTCCCCAATTTGTCTCTCAGCTATATTTTACATCTTCCATTATATTATTGACATATTTTTGTGTAATGTGTAAAGAACATGAATGATATTTAGTATTTACCTTCTGACACATAGATGAGTTCCTTTAAATGGTTGCAGTCTCTCAAATTAGCTTCTATTAGTTTTTCTACAACTGTCCCTTTCTAAAATAACAAGCCATAAAGAACTTGAGAACATTTTGGTTAAATGAATTAAGCTGAGAAATGACAATTCTAACCTCTAGGTCATAAACGGCTTTCCTCATGAAACAAGCAACACGCTAGAATAAAAACATATATATATATATATATATATATATATATATATATATATATATATATATATATATATATATATATATATTAAAAGAGAATATTAGTTTTATATTAAAAAACATATTTCACGTTCTTAATTTTACAGAAAGAAGAAACTTTTCTGTAACAACATGCATACATGAGGTATTTCACTACTCATACTACTGATGCTTTCGTCTAGAATCCCATTACTATGCTTAGAAGCGACTATGTAGGGGCAATATGTACAATAAAAGATTCTAAAATTATACAAGTGTAAAATGTGAATATTGATGAGTTCACAAGGGACAACAAGCATTAAGGAAATCACATCCAAACTGTTACATATCATCAACTCTGAGATTTTTGTTGCAGGAAGATCAGAATAGTCACCATGTTTCATCTGAAACACTTCATGAAATCTATGTCCAGCATGATGCATCATGGCACTCATAGGCTCTGCAGAAAAGGAAAAGGAAAAGGAAAAGGGTATCATTAGTCTCAATGGACAGTAACTCACTCACTATGTATGGCCAAGGCAGTAACTTTGTGTATCATGAGCTCCATCATAAAATTCCACACATCAAGGCTATATATAATATTATAATTCAATTTCCCTATAACAATAAGCAATTAAAGATTATAATCATTATATTACCTGAGTACTTTCATAGGAGTAAAATTAGATTCCCATAAATGCATCATAACAGCTCCTTTCCATGTTGTCCTGGATTTTGTAAGCCATTCTGATTTATGGTCAACTTCTAAGGTAAATCCAGCAGGTCCCACCAAAACAAGATGGTGTACATGCTCAGGATGCTTCATTTTGGTAAAAGTGTGAAATCATTAGATTAATGTAATTTAGATTTGAGACATGAAAGTTGTTTTGTAATATTTATCATCATGAGAGTTACCTTCAAGGCATATTTAGATACAACATATCCTCCTAAAGAATGCCCAAGAAAAATAAACTTATCAAGGTGATTGACTTTTCTCCATTCCTCACGGGAATCAATGAACCAATCCTCAGTTTCTACATTATCATTCAGAGACACAAGTATACAAGCATTAGATACTAAGGTTTTAGGGTTTATGGTTTAGGCTTCAGTTATGACCATGATAAGAACATATTGAAGGAGAGTTACCTTTAGGGTTTTAGGGTTTAGGGTTTCTACATTATCATTCAGAGATACAAGGCGATGTGCTTTTCTTGCTGCTTGTTGGTCGCTTTTTACCCTTGCTCGATTGAATAAAATGAGGAAAGTTGTAACAGTAAAAAACATATATTAAAAAAGTAAAAACTTCAACTAAAATAAATACATACCTGTTCTTTCTCTGAAAGCAACTCACTGTTTGTGACATGAGGCTTCAACATAAAATCTATTAGCTTTATGACAACATCTTCCTGTTTGCAGATAGACATAATTTTCAATTAAAATATTTTTTTAAAAAAAATGTGAAAGAATGATAAGAAAACCAAAACAAACCTTCTTTGCAGAAGTCTTTCCAATTGGCATGTCAAACAGATCACAAAATTCCAAGAACTTCTCTTTATTATACTTGTCAAGCTTTTCTTTCACTTTCAGTTTTTGCTTTTCCTGTAACAATAAATATATTTGATTATTATTTATCATGGTTCAAGATATTTTAATCGTATGCTATTTAAGATGATATGATATTTTATTAATGAAATGTATCTTACATCACTCTCTTGCCAGACGAAGCCTGAAAACCGCAAGATATTCATCTTGACCTGAATAGCCTGCAATTCAAACAAAGAATCCACTTTTAAAGAAATTAAACATAAATAAAAATAAAAATAAAAAAAATCAAATTACACATCATACTAAATTCCTATAAATGAAACATATGATGACCGACTTTAACTTATTACATACTTCATTTAACTTATTATAATTCACACGATATAACTTTATGATTACTTCATATGATTTCATCATTTATAGAGAATTTTTCTTCTGATATACAGTCTTTGTACTTGTCTCAAACTACATATTGATAATTGTTAAATATTTTGATAATAAAATCTTATTCACCCTCGAATCTTCACATTTACAATTAGGGTCTTTTATTTAGGTACAATGTTGTAATAAGAGGAATTACTTGTTTGCCCTTGTCCCACTTTTCTTTTTGTGGTCTCGTATTTTCTTGTTAGATCAAGAAAATCAGGTTAATTGATATGATTTATATATACAGGAGATGAGTTTTATGACGCCCCAAAAGAATTCCAAGACTACCCTTGTACAAAAGATGATGAAAAAACCTTACAAAGGGAAAATCTTGATATAAAGGTAGAAACTTTAGAAAATGAAACAAGTGAAGAAATTCATACCGCTCCACCTTATAAGAGAAGAAAACTAACAAATTCAGCAGGAATTGATATTGAGGTGAATATTTACAGAGACATAAGTAACGGAAGAACCGTAATTACCAAAATTCCCCCGTTAACTGATTGTGATGAAACAGCTGAACCCAGTGAGTCAAGAGACGTGTTGCTTTTATTCAAGTTTAACAACCATGATCTCCCTTTTGAATTAAAGGAAATAATCGTATCAGATTTAAGATTATTGACTCTTCTAGAAGCTGGACTTCCATCTTGGGTAATTTTGTCCCAATCTTACCCTGTTTTTTGCCATATTTATCGACCATGGATGTGCCCTTTAGCAAGAGCTCTATATGTCATCATCTCCATTGTTACAGTTGTCATTGGTTTCTATGATCTTTAGAAAAATGTCCATGTGCTTAAAGCAACTGCTTCACGATTATGTGGGCCACTTTTTTATTGGATTGAAACGTGGGAAATGGTGCCGAGGATTAAGTATTTAGGGACAATGCTTTTTTTTGCATAATTCCGAAGAAGCCCTTGTGTGGTTGTACCTAAATAAAAGATGAGAAACACAACATATTGAACTCACCCAAGTTGATCCATTGCAGTCACCCTGAAATGTTTTGTGGGAGCATCAAAATTTCTGAAGAAGAAGCCCTAAGCAGCTGCATATCCATGAACCATAACAAGAGTTGGTGAATCCTCCTTTCTCTCGAAGGTGAAAGTGTTGATAAATCTTGGTTCATTGCTGGAAGAACGAAACCTAAGATGCATAGAGAGTAGATGCATAGAGTGTGTGTGACTATTAACAAATTATCAGAATGGGATCGAGAATCAGAAAAGTACGGGGGGAGGATCTCGCACCTAAGAAATCAAACAAGAATGAGAATAAGGGAGAAGGAACGAAGAATACCTGAGATGCATAGAGAGTAGAAGTGGGGATCATGGAATGAAGAGGAGATCACGGTCTCCTCCACAGGGATGTGAACGAACCGTAACAAATCAACTCCAAAAATATAGGCATCTTTCACTTCGATCTATTGAAGATAATGAAATCGACTGGAGACATTGAAGCGAACGATTGAATATAGTTGAAGAGATAAGAGTATAACAATATCAAGAAATATTACCTAAAACTTTGAATCAACAATGCTATGAAGTCGAACCGGAGGGTGCAGAAGGTGCGACTTCATCCAAGTTCTCGTCGTCTGAATCAATTAGGGATTTAAATCTGGGCTTTATTTTCTATTGGGATTTTTAGGGATGATGTGCTAGGGTTTTTACAGGATGATGATTTAGGTAGGGTTCAAAATCGAATTGAAATATCGGGGCTTTATATGAACAAATGAAATATGAAACAACGATTTGATTTTCATGTTGAATATTTTGTGAATGAATAAGAAGATGATTATGGTGAAAAAGAAGGGTGGAGAGAAAGGTAGGAGAAAAGTAGCAAGTGTGGATGGATTTCATGAGGGTTGACCCACTCATCATTGTTATCTTCCATCCCTAAAGTCACCGGCGTGGCGTCTTTTTTCTTTGGTGCCACCATCGCTGCCATATTCTTTCCCTCAAGCCACCATCGTTGCAAAGATCAGTGAGATGAGACAACATTTTTTATAGCCATGGGAGATATCTACGAAATTGTAGGTTGGGTTTTAGGTTAGAGAGAGAGAGAGAGAGGGGAAGACGAAGACCCTAGGCTTCTTTCTTGCTAATTGGAAGACGAGGTGGGGTTTTCATTTTTGAGATTTCATTTCCCTCTTGAAACGCGTGTTTCATTAAAAAATATATAAAGCGACACACTTACATGACGCACATCTTATGAAAGGTATCCTCCGTATTTCTGTTTTTCTCCTTTCTGACACTAATTTTAGGGCGCGCACAAACAACACGTCCTCTATCCTTCAAATTTTAGAAGAGATGATATTATTTTTGGGGCACACACTTTTGCGTATAGTAAATCACCGCATGTCATTGTTTGCGTGTCATTAAAGGGCTTTTTTCTAGTAGTGTTCGTAAGCGGATCTGCTAGGTTCTCCTCTGACAATATCCTCTTAACTACGAGGATTTCTTCTTCTACCCGATGTCTATTAAAGTGATATTTTCTGTCGATATGTCAAGATCTACCATGATCCCTTGGTTCCTTGGTCAAGGAAACCGCTCCTTCATTATCACAGAAAATTTCCATGGGCTCCGTTATGGAAGGTACAAATCCAAGGTCTCCAATGAAGTTCTTTAGCCATGTTGCCTCCTTAGATGCTTCACTCGTTGCAATGTACTCTGAGTGGCATTTTGAATTAGCTACGGTTTCTTGCTTGGAACTTTTCCAAGTCATTGCTCCTCCATTAAGGGTAAAGACCCAGCCCGACTGCGAATGGTAGTTGTCCCTGTCGACCTGGAAACTGGCGTCACTATACCCTCGCACCTTTAAGTCATCACTCCCTCTGAGAACCAGAAACCATTCCTTGGTCCTCCGAAGGTACTTAAGGATATTCTTAACTGTGGTCCAATGTGCTCTGCCGGGGTTCCCTTGATATCTACTAACCATGCTCAAGGAGAAGGCCACATCAGGGAGAGTACAAGTCATAACATACATGATTGAGCCAACTCTGGAAGTGTAAGGTACTCTGCTCATTGCTACTATCTCGGCTATGGTACTCGGACTTTGAGTCTGACTCAACATAGCATTACTTTGTATTGGTAATTCTCCCTTCTTCGAGTTCTCCATACTAAAATGTTTTAGTACCTTGTCCAAGTAAGTATTCTGACTAAGTCCTATTAGTCTTTTACTTCGGTCTCTCACTATCCTTATTCCCAAAATATAGGAAGCCTCTCTGAGGTCCTTCATAGGGAAACACTTCCCGAGCCAGGACTTAACTTCCTGCAGTGTTAGGATGTCGTTTCCTATGAGTAGTATGTCTTCGACATATAACACGAGAAAACGAACTATACTCCCACTGGCTTTGACATGTACACATGATTCATCTTCGCTTCGTACAAATCCAAACTCTTTGACTTTCTCATCAAATCAAAGATTCCATCTGCGAGATGCTTGTTTAAGTCCATAAATGGACTTCCATCTGGTGAGAAGGTCTCGTCATAGTCAACTCTAGGAGTTTGAGTAAATCCCTTCGCAACCAATCGGGCCTTATACGTGTGCACATTCCCATCCATGTCCGTCTTCCTCTTGAAGATCCACTTGCACCCAACCTTCTTACGTCCGGGCACATTGTCAACCAAATTCCAAACTTTGTTGTCATACATGGACTGAATCTCGTTGTCCATCGCCTCTTTCCATTTTGCAGACTCCGGGCCTGCCATGGCTTCCTTATAGTTGTTAGGTTCATCTAGACTTACTAGTGTACTATCACTAATATACGTGTCCCCTTCGGTAGTAATATTAAAACCATACAACTCGGGTTGAACTCTAACTCTTTCGGAACGTATAAGAGGTAAGTATTCATCAATCGGTTCAACCGGAGTTTCCTCTTCGGGTTGAGCGCCAGCGTTAGAGCCAGCGTTAGAGGTTCCTTCATTGATCGACTCTTGAATCTCTTCAAGATCGATTTGCCTCCCACTGTCTCCTTGGTCTATGAGTTCTCACTCTCAGAAAACCGCTCTCCTCGTAATGAAGAAAACATTGTCACTCGGTCTATAGAAGAGATACCCAAAGGATTTCTGTCGGTAGGCGATGAAAATACATCGCTCACTACAAGGTTCGAGCTTGTCATTAATTTCTTGTCTTATGAAAGCCTCACAACACCAAACCTTGATATGTGCCAACGAGGGAGTTTTCCCAGTCCATATCTCGTGAGGTGTTTTGGTAACCTTCTTTGTAGGGACTAAGTTAAGGATATCTCGTGAGGTGTTTTGGTAACCTTCTCAGCCACACCATTCAACTGCGGTGTCCTTGGCGGCATCAATTGAAAAACTATTCCGCATTACTTGAGATAGTCGTGGAATTCAAGACTTACGTACTCTCATCCTCGATCGGATCGTAGAATCTTCATTTTCCTGCCCAATTGATTCTCCACATCTTGTTAATGATAGAACAAAGTTCTTTCAGGATCATATGATTCTAAGCAAAATATTAATAAGAACGTAAATAAGAACACAAGTATTGCGATGAAGATATCGAATGATTAATGCAAAATACCCCAGAAGAGCTCGATTAAGAACTTCAATCTGTAGAGGTATAACTAGGGTTACAACAATCAACGTGAACGACTAATCTGTTATATACGCATACATGCATGCATATATTTATAATAAAACCCTAACAACTGATCTAGATAAAGGAAACTATTCTAGATAACTACGAATGGATAAGCCCAATCCGTTTACAAAACAAATAATCCAAGACGCAACACTTAAAATATTCAACAATCTCTCCCTTTGCGTCTTTGGAGCAGAATCTCTATTCTCTTTTCACACCAGTGGTCTTCTTCACCGTTTCAAATATCCTCGGTATAATGGCCAGAACATGTTGTCTAAATGTTATATACCACCGAAGCATATCTGTAAAAAATTTCTTGTCTGATGCTGAGTTCTGCTTGCATCGATGAATGATGTTGATTATATGCTCCAAAAAATCTGTTGAAAACAGATGCTTGTCTACCAATGCAAATAGAAACTTAAGCCTGTTACCCTTAGTGAACATGACAGTCAAGTTAGTTGAATAAATCTGCCCCAACTTCATTTTATTTACATCACCGGGCTTAGATGTTGGCTTGACTGTCGGCTTCTTATTCATCACCCTTGCTATCTCCTGATCCATTGTGGCAAGCTTATGGATATAGGAGGCCAACATCCTTTTAAGATGTTTCAAAATCGGCTCATACTCTCGTTGATTTGAGAGCAGAATGTTGTATAGCAAGATCCAATCATGAGGATTAAGATTGGGAAGATCTGCCAGAGATATGAAATATTCCGTGTTTGCAGTACCACGGTTAATCTTGAAATGAACATTCATAAATGTCCCAGCTTGACTCTTGTAATCTTCTGTGCACTCCAAGTCAAGTACTGTGGTTGACCATTCTTCAAGTAAAAATCAACTAGCTCCCTGTCAACCTTCAAGTTTGGAAAAGGAACCTCAGCAGTGACTTCAAAGCAATGATAAGTGAATGCTCTTTTAGTGATTGGCATGTCAAACTGCAAGTCCTTTGAGTTTTCACATTCAAAAGAAGCAATCGGTTCCAACCAATACATGGAAGGAAACTCAATTGCTTGGGTGATAAGAGTATCTCTGTCCCACTCGGGAAACAGAGTCTTCTTGCACTGTAAAATATCCTCTGCCTCTTTAGTCTTTTTCTCCTTTTCT